ACTGAGCCTCTCGCCCCGCGCCCCGCACCCCCCCTCCCGGCCCCCAGCATGTGCCTGGAGGCGCTGAAGGGCCTCTTCTGGACCACCAACTACTGGGAGGTGTTTGCCTACCTCAAGCTGCTGAGGGGCTGGGAGCTCTTCGGGCGCGCGGAGACCTACACGGAGGGGGTGACCCTGCTGGCCAGGTAAGCACCACGCCTGGGCGGGGCCTGGCCCCGACTGCACCCCTGATGGGTCCCCCGCGGACACCCCACCCGGGACTCTGCACTTCAGACTCAGCCTCCTGGGCCATCTCCCCGGGTGAGCCAGGTCTGCGGGGGGAGGAGGGTCCCTGGCCCAGGGCGAAGCCCTCGGGGCCCAGCGGCGGCCTCTGCCTGTGACAGGGCCATGGCCCACTATGACTGCGAGGTCAATGCGGTCCTGGGGCAGGCGGTCATCTGCCTGAAGAGCTCAGAGGAGCGAGACAACATCGTGGCCATCCTCATCATCACAGAGGTCAGCCGCTCCTCTGCCCTCCCCGGCCCCGGGCCCTTAGGAAGGGCAGGGAGCTGGGCTTCCCTCCCCACCCCCCCACCCCATGCTGTGCTGCGGCCGCAAGTAACTGGTGGCCTGACGGTACCCACCGGCTCAGTTTCTCACCAGTCAAGAGCTCACCCTTTACGTGTCTCGGAAAGTCATGAACCAGTTCCTGACCCTGGGCCTGCACAACCCCAACCAGCTGGTGCGGGCCCTGAGCCTGACGGGGCTCAGCAGCGTCCTCTTGCAGCCTAAGAAGGTGAGGGGGCCCTCGCTCGACCGGGGGGGCGGGGGCGCTGAGCAGGAGGGGGCATCTGGAAAAGAGCCTCCATGACAGGTGGGCGGGAAGGGGGGCGGACAGGGAAGCCGGGCCGGGCAGGAGAGGGCTGCAGTGTTTAGGGGACCCTGCTGCATTGCACGGGGCTGGGGACCCGGGGATTTCTGAGCTGGAGGGAGCGCAGAGGTCAGCGACCTGGGCTCCTTCCCAGGTAGGAATCCCTCACCTGACAGCACAGCTGCCCTGGTTCAGGCCCCACCCGCACCCGCAAGACTCAGCCCCCGCCGGATGGGGCGGCCTCCTGCCTCCCGCCCATGGCCTCCCAGGACATGTCGGTGCCC